AACTTCCTTGGTAGTAGATAGTCCAATCCTAATATGCATTCGTCTTCAATGTAGGCCAAATATACTTTCTGTCTGTCCTTTATGTGCATGAGCTCAATAGTTGCCCACACTGGTCCCCACAATCTTGTAGAATGTCCTGTCACACCATAAAGCTTCTGTATGGCTTCTGGTACTCTTTCGTGATCTAACACCTTGATGCTCACAAGGGTTTGCTGAGACGCAGAGTCTATGACAAAGTTGCACCTTTGGCCATCCAGCTTTCCTGCCACATAGACACTGTGTGTGCTTGGCATTTTACATCTAGCTGTAGGGACTTTCATAATGGGGGTTGGTGAGTGTCCCACAACACCAACCACTACTGGTCTCCTTGAGGCCGACTTGTTGGTAATATTCTTCCTACACTGGCTCCTCAAATGCCCGTGCTTTCCACAGTTCCAACAACCTTTCTGGATATCAGCCTTTCCTGCTGTGGCATCTTCCCTGTGTTGAAGTTGCCAACATTGAGCTCTTTTGTGCCCAGGTTTATTACAGTGCCAGCAAAGTCCCTCAAACTTCTCTGAAAGCTGACCTTTTCTGGCCTTTAATCCAGATGACTGTACCAACCTTGGTACATCTGTGCTGGATTTAACGTAGGAATCAAATTCGAGAGCTCTGGCCATTGCATCCTGCATGGTAGAGGGGTGTGCTTGCTTCACTTGTATCTTAAGTTGTGGACTGTCCAAGGCATCTACGAACTGATCCCTCAGCAACAACTTGGGGAGATCGGGTAGTGCAGTTGGGTAGGCCTTGTGTGCCATGCTTTCCAAGTCTTGTGCCAGCTCTTGCAGGCTCTCCCCTTTAGCACGGATTCTCGTCCTAAACCTAGCCCTGTAGACTTCTGACTGATTTAGGGTTCCGTACCTGAGTTCCAGAGCCTCTGGCAGTGCTCTATAGTTGTGTCTGTCGGCTGCTGTCAACTGTTCAAGTATTTCCAGTGGTTGTCCCTTCAAGCTAGTTGCCAGATATACAGCTTTCTGCTCCTCTGTCCATCCATTCATCTCTGCCAGTAGCTCAAACTGTGCTCTATATGCTTCCCACGGTGGTTTCCCATCGTATTCCTGTGGCTTCCTTCTTACTGAATCACTCCTATTACTGACATTCATATCTGGGATGTGACTTCTAACAGGACTGAAGATGTCTGCATTAGGGTTTAGCTGCGGGCTCTGGAAGGGGCTTGCCATTGTCTGGGGCTGATTAAGTCGATGGTCAATGTATCCTCCTTGTGTAACAGACAATAAATCGTTCTTTAACGTATCTAATTCGCTTTTAAATTTACTAATGTTTTCCGTTTGTACTTCTTGCCATTGTTGTTGATTTTCCTGTAGTTGCTGCTGACTTTCCTGCAACTGTTGGATACTTTCTTCCTGTTTCCTTTCCTGTTCTAGTTGCCACTGCTGTAGTCTCTCTTCTTCTTTATTTTCTTTCTCCTCCAATAGCTGTTGTAATCTCTCTTCTTGTTTATTTTGCTGTTCGAGCTGCCACTGTTGCAGGTTTTCTTGCAACTGCTGTAATCTAATCTTCTTGTTTCTTTTCTCATTCTTCTTCTTTATTTTCTTGTTTATTCTCTCGTTCTTCTTGTTTCTTTTCTGTTTCCTCTAACAACTGCTGTAATTTCTCTTCTTGTTTCTTTTCTTTTTCCTCCAAGAACTGCTGTAATTTCTTTTCTTGTTTCTCTTCTCGTTCTTCTTGTTTCTTTTGCTGTTCTTGTATTGCTGCCATCAAATCTGCTAAGCTGTAGTTTGATTTGCCGCTTCTCGTTTCCATTTTTTTCATCCCACTTCTGACACCAATTTTGTTACGTCTCCGTTCATTAGTTAATTTTCCGTAACTTCGTTCCGACGAAACTTTAGCGACACAAGTCCTTTTTTAAATAAAACTG